GCAGTGTGAAGTGTGAAGTGTGAAGTGTGGACTGTGAAGTGTGAAGTGTGGAGTGCGAAGTGTGAAGTGTGGAGTGTGCAGTGGGAAGCGTGCAGTGTGAAGTGTGGAGTGTGAAGTGTGGAGTGTGAAGTGTGAAGTGTGGAGTGTGGAGTGTGCAGTGCGCAGAGTGCAGTGTGAAGAGTGCAGTGTGTAGTGTGGAGTGTGAAGACTGTCAGGTGTGAAGTGTGACGTGGAGCTTCAAATGTGACATGTGAAATAAGACACCAGTTTCGCAGAGTGCACGCATGCACGGGCTTCGCTGGCGCACGGCGCATGCAAGTTCTATAGATGAGAAAGGTCTTATATATATATCTTTAAGGCAACTTCCGCCCCGCCTCGTGCGGGTACTACTGGTATATATCTGGGTAAATTATAATGACCTGCACTGTGCTGTTGTGCCTGAGGCCAAGTGCTGTTGTGGCTGGGCAACGAATTCAGGAAGGAGTGTTGGCCAAAACGAAATGCCGATGACTTCGCAAAGGCACCGTTCCAGCCGCTTTGGATTCTTTGTGCATGAACTCAGGTTCCAATGTGTATCAGCAGCTGACATCAGCATTGCTATTTTGTCAAGTTTCAATCTGTTCACAACTGCACACTGTTAAGACCTGCTGGTATGCTGTCCTTTGGAGCAAGAAACTGCGCCATGGCCACCACAAGCACAGGGAAGGTGACCCTGGTGACCCCTGCTTGCTCAGCTTGATCTCACAACTTGCAGATGCCAAACCTCAGGTGCTCCTTGCAGGATGCGAGCATGATCCGGTGCAACTGTTCCACCACGCGCTGACTGGATGACTGGATCAAACTTCCTTGCAAGCTTGGAGGATTATTGCCTGGTTTATCGAAGGCAATTCCAGCAATTCCAGCAATTCTGCACCAACGAACAGTCAAAACATCTTAATTGCTACCATAAGGCATGTGGAGGGGTTCTTCCTGTCTCTAGGGATAAAAATGCTGAATAGGTTGTGCAGATAGCACTACCATAACTCACTCGCAACCAATGACATGCATATCTTGCTTGGGGATCAGCTATCTGTGCCGGCCATCAGGCTGCATCATTGGATCGTATGTACAATAGGGATCTTTGTCCCATCGTGACTCAGCGTTCACTCAGCCTGGCAACACTCATCCGGGCCTAGTAATAAACTTAGCTGGGCTTGGAATGCTGATGGATTCACAATTACGAACATCGGCGCAAAACCCAGAAGCTCTGCAACTTTCAAAACTGTCAGGAATGTCAGCAAAGATCGGGACTTGCTCAGCGTTAATGCATTTTTTTCAGAGGATGTGTGTGGAGCATTGGATCTAAAACTCTCTGTTGATGGGGCTGTAACCAAAGCTTCAGCACCTAGTCATGAAGTCTTCCAGTCAAAACAATTGGGCTCAACAGCGACATATATCACACATATGCGGCGACCATGTTGCACCACGATCGACCGCAAAACTTGAGAACCAGCAGACAGAATCCTTATATATCCTCATGCCGTATACCCTGCTAGCCCCAACAGATCAAATCCCAATAATTCTATAGAACCAGAACCAAAACCCCACATTCAAATGGGAGTTGATTGGATGTAAGTCGACAACTTCTGTCATCAGCCTGCGGATGACCAAGTTACCGAGCCGCTCTGGTCGACTGGTCGACACGTGCAACCAAGATGCAACACTCTCCAAAAGTGTCGCAACTTCATGCTGGCCCTGGTTTCTTGCAACATCCAATGGAATCTGGCCTGAGTGCTGCGACATGTAAATCTGATGCGAATTTCACACTCAGATAGCTGCCGTTGCAGTGTCAAAAGTCCCAGGTAAGTTTGCGGATGCATTTGCATGTATATGATTTAAAACATGTTAAAACATGTTAAAACCATATCAAGTCCTTTGGACGTGAAACACACGGAAGCAATTGCCCGCGGATTCAAAAGCCCATATAGAATGCGTGTTTCCATGCTGAAGTTCCGTCTGTTTGGGGAGCCCTCAGTGAACACCGCAGAAGGTTACATGTTCATGTCAAGTTGACTCGTGTATCAAGGAAGATTAATAGCTCCAAAGCTGAGGAATGGAAGCATGACACAGCAGAGGGGAGGTGCTTGTTTTGGAAAATGTCACAACTCAGCGCGGCCAAACTTTGGCAATGAAGGTCCATTAGCAGCACATGAAATTGTAATTGTCAATTGTCACAAATTTGAGTGGAGATAGAATGGACTGAGGAAAAGCATGCCATATTGACGATTGTGTACTTCATGGTGCACGGACTGCGCAAAAAAGGCATGTCTGAGATTTTTTTTGATAGAAGAAATCACTGGCTCAAACAATTTAACAAGCCAACATTCATGGGTTCCTCTTGCAGTTTCGCAGTGTCCTTTCTGATGTCCTAAGATTCGCCTGCGAATGCTTACTATGTCACCACATATCCAAGTGCCTTGCGCTAAACAGCCTTCTGTGTGACTGAGGACCTTTGATTGCTTGCTAACTCTTAAATGATATCTGAAAAATTACAGGGTTTCCCATGTTTTTCCCATGTTTTCCCATGTTTTTCCTATGGTTTTTGAGTGAATCTTCCCATCTCCCAAGGCCCCCGGCACAGCCGGAGGCCGCCAGGGCCGCCAGGTGCAGTCATACCGCCAGGGTCGTCTCTAGAAGTGTCCTTCGACAAAATGAGAAAGAACTGAAACACATGTTGTATAGTTATGTATAGTTATGTATGTATGTATGTACATATATATATATAGTTATGCATAACATGTTGTATCATGCTGTATCACGTTACAAAATTCTATTGTGTAGCCGGGTGTTTGGGCCCCCCTGCGGTCGTTGTTGATCAAAATCACTCGCGCTTTCGCCTCAAGGAGCAGCGTCACCACATCTGCATGGCCACCGAAGGCCGCATCGTGCAGTGGGGTGGAGCCTTGGTGCACACAGAACTTCCAGTCCAACGAGAATTTGAAGAGAAAAAAGTGGCAGTGCTTCTCTAAAAGTACTCGTTTTGACCCAAAAGTCGCATGTTGTTCATTATGTTCATTGCGTTTTTTTCACGCTCTTTTCACGCATTTCAGCGGGCAACCTCTTTGTATTGAATTGACAGCATGCCGCAAGCACAGCGTAACACGTAAAGGGGAACTGTGTGAAAAGGTTTCAAGTCAAACGGGGACGTTGGGTGTCTTCATCCCATACTCCGATACAAGTTGGTTTAACCATTAACATCCATTAACTATAGATATATCTACCATACAGTAAACATCAGTAAACCATAGTTTTTATAGTTAGCTGGAGCTGGCCAGCGCACCGAGCAGCCATTTTGTCCCGTGACATTCACGTCGACGTCGGCCACGAGGATGCTACAGATCTCTACGTGGCCCTTGCCCGTTGCCAGGTTCAGCGGGGTCTGACCTACGGTGGTTGACGCCCTGCTGGAAGTGGCAACAACCGTGCCATTAGAAATGCGAAGCATGTCATAGTCCAAAATCTCTACTGAAAAGCTGATATCGGAACACCACATTCAAGTCTTGAACCTACTCTTTTTCCCCACAAGTCATATCAAGAGCGTCCCGTTTTGCTCACTTTTGACAAGGTGCAGAATCCCTTGCGCCGGCCATGCGGGACGAAATCTGAACGTCCAAAAGTGGTCCGAACATGTGGTGCTTTTAACATTTTGACTTGGAAATGTGCTTCGCGCCACAACCGCGTGCACTTTTTCGACATCTCAACTTCCAAAAATGCTCTGAGCACGGTGTGCTTTGCACATTTGACTTGGAAACGCGCTTCGCGCCACAACGGCGTGCACTTTTGCGACATCTCAACTTCCAAAAATGCTCCGAGCACGGTGTGCTTTGCACATTTGACTTGGAAATGTGCTTCGCGCCACAACGGCGTGTACTTTTTCGACATCTCAACTTCCAGAAGTGTTCCGAGCATGGTGTGCTTTGTACCTTTTGACTTGGAAATGTGCTTCGCGCTACAACGGCATGCACTTTCTTCGACATCGCAACTTCTAAATTTTGTACATTTTGATTTGGAAATGTGCTTCGCGCCACAACGGCGTGCAATTTTTCATCTCTCATCTGGCCAGATGGCTCCGCACCCGCCGCTTTAGCGAGCCTACTTTTCGACCCTCTGGAGCCACAAATCATTGGAAAGCAGTGAATCGCGACTTTTCTACCTTTTCGCGCACCTGCATCTTCTTTCTCCTGACTCTTTCTCTTCTCTGATCTTCTTTCTTCTGCTCTTCTCTTCGCTGACTCTTACCACCTCTGCTTTTCCATCTGTCCATACTGTCGGAAATTTGACTTCTAAACTTTTTTCGATAACCACCAGCTACAGTACATCTTGCGAGTCCACCTGATCTCGTCCCGAACAATCTTGGTCCGCAGCGTCGTTACTTTTCTCCGCATTCCCGGCCGGTTTTGAAAGACAGGTTTCTCGGGCGCAGATTTCGCGCACCCTGTGGCTTGGCTCATGTTAGAGCAAAGCACCAAAATTTCAACGACAAAACTCTGGGGCCGGCCATGGTGTTTTCTTGTTGTAATTGTGGCCCCCGATTTTACCAGAAATGGGTGGGAAAATAAGCATAAAATATGGGGTGGATGGTATTGAGCTTTACCACATAAGTGACTTGTGACTTGAATTTCGCATCCATTTCCGCCAATATCAAATCATGGAAATGAAAATTCGGAGCTGATTCTTTTCTTTGGTGTCTCCCCAAGTCATTCATGTAAAATTGTGGATGATTATTGGAAAATCACCAAAGACTCAAATATGATTATTGGAAAATCACCAAAGATTCATGTGAACATTCATGTAACATATGATTATTGGAAAATCATGCTCATGTGACTCATATGTTTGATTCTTTGGTTCTTTTGGTGCACCTCACAGCTCTCCGCAATCTTCGATGACCACCTGCCGTTGAGGTAACTTGATCCATCCGGTCCCACATTATAAAAGTGCCAGAAAACATCGAGTTTCAGCTACTTAGCAGCTACTTGTTGTATATGTCCATCATTTTCCATCCATATTTCCATCTCAAGATCTATGAAACTAGCCGTAACTAGCCATCCAGTTGGTGTCCCCGAGAAATCCAGGGATCCACAGCAGAAAGCTGCCTTCTTTGAAGTCTCACCTGAGGACTGTCCCACCTGGGTCAAGCAGCCGAAATCCTGGGGGCCCAACTTATCATCCAAGAAGAAATTGACAAGTTGGGATGATAGGTTGGAAATTATCCCATAATGTTTGTTTATATATTATAGTATTTATGTTTAATGTATATATACATATAATGAATCGTATAAAGAAGGGGTTCTTGGTCATAATGTTTGTTTAATATGATTTTCATAAGAGGTGTACATAGGAAACTAATGAAAAATGAAAAATCTAAGCTTCCCAGCTGCTTCCATCTTCTTGACCACCTCCTCATAGCCCTCCAAGACTTCCCCAAAGACCACATGTTTCATGTCCAAGTGAGGCGTCTCCTAGGCAGCTTCAGGACACTGTTTTCTTTCTTGGTGGTTTCAATGATGTGTGTCTGTGTGTTATGTGTTTATCCTAAAAATGGGATGATGATCCCAATGGAAGATAGGATTGAAATTGATCCCAACTAACCATAACTACCCTCTGGTAATTTAACATAGCTATTGAAAATGACTATTTATAGTGGATTTTCCCATTAAAAATGGTGATTTTCCATAGTTATGTTAGTTTACCAGAGGGTAACCAATATCCAATGCAAAACATGTTTTTGATCTCAATGGACCAACCTTTTTGGGAATAGGGGTGGTCTGACCCGACTTGATGCTTTTTGTTGCTGGGATGGAGAACCCACCTACCAACAAGCAAACAGCAGCAGGACTCCTTGACGGTGATGAAGAACCTTGGACAGTTGAACTGCGGCGTTGTTTGGGATGGTTGTTTTTTACTCACCCGAAAACTAACATTTTACGCAAAATAAAGATAGAAAAATTGGGCCCCATGTTGGCTCAGCTATGTTAAGAATTCATGACCGGGATATATGCAGGGCAGGTACCATGGTCAGGCCTGGTGAATTTAGACATTTTTGGACACTTTTTGGGCACTCTTCTTACTAACATAGAACCCCGTACGTTGCCACTGAGGGCGAATCCAAAACTTCCGTGTTAGCCATCGTTGTTTTCCAATGGCGCTTGACACGGAGATGTCAATGGATTTAAGGATCCTAGTATTGTTTTACAACTGCTAAAGGAAAAAATGATCTGTTTGACGTTTTTGGGTTGAATCTGGACTGGCGGCCCTATTTTGTACAGGACATTCAGCTGTTTCAAGGTGCCGTTTAAAGCTTGGGTGCAAGGTGGGTGCCATGTTAGCACCTGAACTGTGTGGGCAGCCAGCCTTTATGCTGTGTTCCTCCATGTTGTTCCCGTTGTGCTACCCCGTTGCGGTTTACTTTGGAAGGTTGTGCGACGAACACGGAACCCAACACATATCGAAGAATAAGTGCCGACACGACCTCTTCTTGGAGGTGTCTTGGTTTCAATTCTTGCCAGCCACTGACCTAACACGGAACCCAAAATGCCTCCCCCCCGGTTGTAGTACACAACCCAACATAGAAGCCAGCCCGGCTTGTCCTCCCCCACCCCTTATCGGATCCAAAACCCCGCTGTGAATCCCTTAGAGATAAAACATGCCAAATTTATCCAAATGTTATTTCCCTGTTAGCTGCCCGTTCTCCGCGAGCCGTCGCTTGCAACAAGGCTTCGCTCTTTCCTGAGCTTGTTGTATTCGGCTTGCAGCCACAATCCCTAGACCCAACCTCTCCCATATCCAACCCAATCCTGCAAGCCAGAAGCCGGAACCCACCAGCTTACATGGAACCCAACACAAAAACCGTGGGTCCCCCGAACACAACCTCATTAGGTGTCCGTTGTCCGCAGGCCGTCGCTTGCAGCGAGGCTTTGAATGTGTATCGCGTCGCGTTGGTTTGCAGCGGACACCAACATGGAACCCAACCGACACAGAAAAATCCGCCCGCACCGAAGGTGCTGGGGCGTGATCGTCCGGATGGCACTCGTAAAAGGTTACAGGTTTACCTGGGGGGGGGGGGGCATTTTTCGGCCAAAACCTCCTGTTTTTGATAGGTCGTGACGCTCGCCTTCAAAAAACACTGTAAAAAACAGTACGGAAGACACCTGTTCGTGAACGCGCCCGTCCAAAATCGGCAAGCGAAAAGTGAAAAAAACCCGTGTTTTTCAACTTTTTGACCTCAATTTTTTGGTTTGCAACATCTTTTTTTGCGGTTCCGCAGGTGGCCTGGCCCGGAGGCGGATTTTTGAGTTTTTGGACCCGTTTTCGGACTGATTTTCGTCGTTTTGTGATAGCAGAAACACTGGTTTTTACAGTGTTTTTCTGTTTTCTGCATGCTTGACGGCTAGCTTCAAAACTTCCAAAAACCTCGTAAATTACGCTGTTTTATGTTACGGTGTGAATGAAAACATCGTAAATACCAGTGTTTTTTGACGTTGGTTAAAAAAACACTGTAAATTACAGTGTTTTTGGCCACCTGACCCTCAAAAACCATGGTATTTGCAGTGGTTTCTGCTTCTCACCGCGCAAAAACACTGTAAATAACAGCAATTTCGCCTTTTTTTCATGTTTTTCGAGAGCCCAACGATGCGGTGCGGGCGGTTGCCGTCGCGAAGCGACGTGAATATAAAGTGGCAGCACGATCTCTTGTCACGTGTGTCTTTCTTTTGCTCCTTGTTGCTCTTTCCATCTCTTTCTCAGTTTGCCGATTTTTGTAGGGATGAAGGATCTCCAGGTAGAATCGCGGCAAAACACCCAGGTTTTAACCATTTTTTGTGGTATGTAGGAGCAACGCCTTAAAAACCATTTGGATTCCAAGGTTAGCCTTCAACCCAGCCTTCAAGGTTGCAGATTGATTTGCGGTGACTTTTTCAAATTCCATGTTGGCTGTTTCGGGGTGCAGCTTGGGTTCAGTTTGCATTGGGTTCCGTGTCAGTTTTGGAGTGATTTTATTTAAAAAGTAAGTCGCATTATTTCCTGGGGAACACAATCCACTCCACACCGTACCATGGTGCCATGTTAGGTGCCCTCAGGAATAGCCTGAAGTTCCACATTTAGAGTTCAGGAGTGTAGAGTGTAGGTGTTTCTATTGTTTTTTGCTGATGATTTGGATTCACCAAGGTTTCAAAACATACAAACAATTTCAAGTTGTGTGTTCGCGCACCTTGAAACGATGTGTGAATTTTTGGGAGTCATCACCAGTGAAAATTCCCATGCGCCCATTCCGAAAAAGCTGGTGCCAGCCCTGTATTCTGGAGGCTGGATAGGGTGATAAGTGTATATACATGTTGAAGAGTATTATAGTATATTATAATATATTATAGTATATCACCTTTATGATCACCTGATAAGTATCCCATGGCTATAGCTATGAAATATTCTGGTTGAAGTTGGGCCATACCCAACTCTCCAGGTCCCAACAGGGTCCCCTCACTGGCTGCCGTTAGTTCCCGGGCCAGCCTCAAGGGCGATCATCCAAATCTACTCGAAATTTGGTGTATTGGTTCCACTCTAAATATCCTCTGGTAAACTAACAGTTTGCGATTGAAAATGACCATAGAAATAGTGGATTTTCCCATTAAAAATGGTGATTTTCCATAGTTATGTTAAATTACCAGATGGTAGTTTATCAAGGTACTATCACAGAAAGTGAAGGTAAACACATAAAAACCTGTTTGAAACAAAAAGCACCAAGACTTCTTGAAACTTAAAACTGCTCAAACTGCAGCTGTCATATCACCTGATTTCCTTCATTTCTTTGTTGGTCATCCCAGTCATGACAAAGAGATCTTAGATCTGCACATTCGCCATGGACAGGAGCCCAGGCCTTGTGACGAAAACATGGGAGATGTATGGAGATGGCAGATCTGCTCAAGGAGCAAAGTGAGTAAAGTGAGTGATTTTTTTGCAACGATTTTTCCCGTCTAACATGGACTGAAACACTCATGTCATCCGTGAATCCAACGGCTAAAGGGCACAGGTCCCAAACTGTCCAAGTTGGAATCCAACTGCCTCGATGTCATCGATTTCATTGATTTCTCAGGTCTCGGCTTGGTATGTTTCACCTTGAAATTTTCATCCGCAAACTTCTCTCCTCACGATTCGCAGACAACAGGAAAAGACACGTGTGGCTCAAAGTTGGTTGGGGGTTGACTGATTTAAATCAGCAGAACAACTAAGGTGTGAGTCAAGAATGGTCAAGACCTATGTACTCCTGAGATTTCGGCCATGATTAAGGTGATTAAGACGTCTGTTATCATCGGGTTATTTAACATAGCCATGGGAAATGGCCCATTTATAGATGGTTTACCTATTAAAAATCGTGATTTTCCATTGCTACAGTATGTTAAATAACCAGATGGTATCAGAATATATTGTTAAGACCTGACTGCTTGGTTCCTGCAATGGTTTTTTTCCAAGTTTTTGACCTCACAAATGATCACAGCAAGCAGCCGTCCATAAATGGATTCTCCACCAGTTCCATTGCCAGCTGTGAAGTCGCCACCCTGGGCCACAAATTTTTGGCGAATCTCTGCCACAATGGGGGCGAGCTATCGAAGTGCAACTGGACCAACTGACCAACAAAACTCCACCTGCAGCTGCATGCAGTTCCTATTTGGGTATGTCCAAATGTCTCATAGGTAAATAACATTAAATAGCCATCCAGAAAAGTCCGAAAAAAAAACCACAGAACACAAAACACGACACAGGACATCACGTCGGACGCACCTGACACATGAACTTCGGGATAATCCTGTGGAAGCCGCTACCCTGCACGAAGTGATCCAAACACGGGGGCTGGATAAAGGTGGCACATTGGGATAAGCGGAACCCAAAAAAAAAGATAGAAAAGGTATGAAAAGGTTCAATTTACCATGATCTGCCAAAAATAAAGAAGTGAGAGTTTACTGTTCAATCTTTTTGGAGGGTTGCGATAGTCGGATGATGTTGGAAGGTTGCTGAAAGTCGGATATGATGTACATGATGCTAGTTGTGACCATAGGATATAAGTGACATAAGTGATCCGTATTGGCATCCATGACTATAACCCCCTCCAACACATTGGATCCCCTTTTCTGGAAGCCAAAAAACCGCAATACCACGCACATCCACCGCACAGTACACTGACGCCTTATAGTGCAAGGGCTTTCCGGCCTGAGAAAAGTGAGAAGATTGTCTGTTTGACACGGTAAATATGACCTCTTGGGTGTCTCTCGCAGTGTTCTTTTTCTTCGCACGGCCGCACAGCTTTTCGCCATTTTGAGCACCAAACAACCCAAACTCTGAGGCCATTCATGGTATGGGTCAAAGTCATCCCCCAAAATATGGATGATCAAAAATTCAAACAAAACAACCAGTTCTGTGGGTCCATCAAAATTTTCAAGAACCAGCAGCAGATGCCTTGCCCTCGCCCTTCTCTCCAGTGCAGAGGGCTCTGAAATTCTCAGCCTTGGAGCAAACATGTTCGCACACAGATCGTTGGATCTCGATGTGGAACATCGTCAAAACACACACCTCATTTGTTGAGACTAGGTACACACGTTGAAGAAGATAAATTTGGCGACTTGGTGACTTAAAAAGTCAGATTATGCTAGCCAAATGGCCGGACATGGTCCTTACTAAACATACTAAACCATCCAGTCAATGATTTTGAGGCACAGCGCTTGGGGATCCTGGGGATCCTGACTGTCTTTGGCACCTGCTTTCCATAAAGGCCCATAAGAATTCGACCAAGCTTCTCACCATCCAGGGAGATATCCATAAAGACCTGCACTGAGATCTTGGCAGCCTCTCTAAATTTCCAAATCACAGAGATCATCTGAATATCTCTGAAAATGGGGTATACCCCCAATGAAATAGCCATAAAAAGTAGGGATAATGATCAGCAAAACCATTGGGTCATTGGGTACACGACATTTTCAGACAAACCCATCTGATCCCATCTGAATATCTCTAAATTTCGATCAATGACCACCTGACTATTCTGGTCATCTTCCCCATGCAGCTGATTTTACTGTTCCTGCGGCTCCGGAGCTGCTGGACCTTGTTGGTGATGCTGGTGTCTGGTGGCACATCCTCACACTTCACCAGGTATTCCCATCGATCCCACCTCACAGACACCACGGACACTGCTGGGATCCAAGTGCTTCTCGTTCTATCACTAACAGTTATTAATGGGTAATTCAACTATAAACTATGAGTTATATATACCCTCTGGTAATTTAACAGTTTGCTATTGAACATGGCCATAGAAATAGTGAGTTTTCCCATTAATAGCATGGTGATTTTCCAGAGTTTTCTGTGGCTGTTTACCAGAGGGTATCAAGTGGTGATTACCCAAGTGATCGACACTCTGGCAGAATGACAAATGAAAATGGTGATTACCCCTCTGCTTATTTAACATAGCTATGGAAGCCATCGCCCAACCGAAAATCGAAATAGATGATGACCATCATGATTCACCCATTCAAAATTCTCAAAATGCTGATTTTCCTGTTTTCCAGGTCACCATTCAATTACCAAAGGCGAATCATAAAAGAAGACAGCCATGCCTCAGTGTGATTCTGATTTCACCGCAGAAACAGCAAGAAACGGCGCATCCAAGCGACTTGGACTTCTTCAGCAAGGAAATCACGATGCATCGCGTTCCTTTGCTATCCTCCGGAGACCGCTATGTTGACCCTCTGGTATTCCAACATAGCCATTTTGCTAAGGTAAATCATCTCTAAAGAAATTGCTTTCCATAGCCTATCTTCAACGACACAAGGCTATCATCGTTTTTTCTGCTTCATGTCACGATGTCACGATGTCTGCATCCCCAAGTAGGTCCTTCTCCAACTCCCAATTGGATTCATCTGGATCCACCTCCTTCCAAAGCGTATCATCCTTCGCATCCCAGGCGAATCCATCCCTACCATCCCTACCATCCACGGTAGCTTCTTGGGTTAGTGATCAACCAACTAAGCATCAAAAACCCTGGGGGCTGAAGAATGTTCCACAAAAACCCTGAGGCGCCCGCAATAACCGGCTCTTGCCCTTTCAAACCCACCTGGCCCCGGAGCCCCGGAGCCCTGGGAATGATCAAGGTGCTACCGAAGCTGAAGAAATCAAGCTAATTTGCAGTCCTGATCTGCAAAAGATCATGATTTTGAAACGGCGTTTTCCAGCCTTCAGCGCCTTTTTGGTAATCTTCACCTGATGGCCCCCGAAGGTGGCACTTCATGGTTGCTCCAATCATCGCAATGGGAGACACACAAAAAAATCTCAGGGAAATAAGAAACGATTCGCCCTACGATCATCTTCCACTCTGCTCTTTCTAGGCTGGTTCCCCATGCTATTCTTTGGGTGTCCTGATGCTTGTTTCTTAAAAATCTTCTCATATGGACATCCAAGTGATTAGACCATGACTTGGCGCATAACACCATGGTTTTGGGGATCCCATGACCATGACATCCCATGACACCCATGACATCCCATCGGGCCCATCGGGCGTCCCTACATCACAGTCTTTGGCCTTAACACTGTCCTCAATCGGCACGAAGACCTGCCCCAAGTCATAGCGCCCTTTCGGGGAAAAATTTAACCGTTCCCTTGGCAAAGGTTGATTCCACCAGAAACTATGAAAAAATCAGTAGGAAATGGTTGAAAACCAAACTATTGATTCAACCAAACTAAGGTAACCGTCAAACTATTGGTTGAAAATGGTTGAAACCCGTAGGAAATCATCAATCGACATGAATAGTTGTTCTTACCAACCAGCAATTACAGATGTGTTTCTCTCAATGAAAATTGGTTCTCCGTGCTCAACCTAAACCTCCAAGACCCAGAGATCTTCGACTTGCCATCTTCACCCTCCAAACTAGAAACAGTGAAAACCTCGACAGTAGATGACAGTAGCAATACTGTAGATCAACTGAAATCTCCGTCAAATTCGTCTCAATTGCCATGCATGATCAGAGAGTAATCGCCTTCAAATGAGCCCCCTTCCCATCAAGTCGTAGAGGAAGCGAAAAATCGTGAAAATCTCATCCATCTGTTGACCATCAAACATAAGCAGATGGAAAAACCCAGTACCCAGATTGACCAGCGACCCATCCCAATTCCATCCAATACCATCCAATAGCATCCAATAGCATCCAATAGCACAATCCCATTATAGCAAGATCGCAAAAAATATCGCGCAGTATGAGAAATGATTGGGGAAATGATCAATGGGAATTTCAGGATCCTCAAATGGAGGTACGTTAGTACCATATAAGGCCATATTTTGTGGTGATTTTAGGATCCTGAAATTCCCATTGAAATGGTTGGGTGTTTCATCCCACCATACCAGCTATGACAAAAAAAATCCAGTTCCCATCGCAATTTCATCTCCAGCGCTCCAACGGCCTTGATTTCCTCGCTCTCATCCTCTCCTGAAGACCACTCGTACTTCCCAGCTTGCACTGGCATGGCCTAGCGGAAAGAAACCGGATGCAGACGAAAACAGAGGGGGTTAGGAGTTGGTTTCGATGTTGGGATAGGCTAGGATATATAGGATATGTATATAGGTAATATAGGCTGTAAAGGTAGGTATCATGACCATGATAAGCTAGCTTGAAGGTGACTTTTGGTGTCGTTTACGCCCATCAATGAACTTGAGGGATTTCCCATCGATAAGAATATCTCTTCAAAGCTCAAGAAGCTCCAAGAAAATCATCGAAAAATCAATCCCTTCTTGGTTATATCAAGCTATAGACGTTTCGACCACCGACCTGGCTATTCGCTTTCGGCCCTCGACGCGCCGTGGCTTTGAAAAATGGCTTCGCCGCGAAACGCTTGGGATGCGATTTGCCCAGAAAGATATCATCAGCAATAACTTGTCTCAATACAATTCATCAGGGAAAAAAGGAAATAAAAAGGAGACATACTGTGACATACTTGAAAACTTAGAAATAATTGACCCATATTGACCCAAAGAATGGAGATAATGCCAGTTTCATCCAGGTTCTGTTCCTGAGCATGAGGTATTTCTCGGTATTTTTGGTGTAAAATGGTGTAAAAAGCCCTGAAATCAATTGGTGATAGCAAACTCTCCCGGAGCACTGGCACTTTCAGAAAAAACCTGAAAAACCTCATGAATTTGTCTGACAAGACCTTCCAAGGGCAGAAGCCGTAACAGGCACAGGCACGCCGGGCGCGCATTTCTTGCTGTCTCTACAAATTTCACACCTCAAGTGCTGAAACAAAGTGCCTGGCAAACGATTCACATGGCCGCCGGCAAACGATTCAAGCACCTTCAGCCCAAGTCTGGGCCATGAGCAGAGAGAAAATCATCCCTTGAGACCGAAAAATCGAAGCATTCCTCCAAGTTCGTTCATCAAACTGTCAGAGTTGCTCCAAGATTTTGAGTTCTCATAAGTTGTCATGATCAAATGGGAGAACCGGCTTGGGACCCGGGTTTTTGCGGGTATCACCAAGTCATGAAGCAATCTGAAGTAATCTGTGGCCTCGGAAAGAGTTTTGGGCGTCAAACAACGCAGCGGGTCATTGAGGTTGTGGTCATTTGATCTTTCCTCTCCCCAAACTCTTCGGCAGAAGACGCTCAGGCCTAAAATTGAGCGCAGCCTGACCGCGCATAGTGAAGGTGCCAGGAACCATTTGGAATATCCTAAGTCCTGGACCCTTCACTTTTTCATCTTGTTCATTGCGGGATAACGCATGGTTGACGCCATGTTTCATGGCACATGCAGCTTGAGATGGGGTAGGGAAACCATCTGAAGCAGTTTCTGCTGCATTTCTGAGCAGTGACAGTTGCAAAAGGGTGGGTAAAAATTGCATTCACTCTCCAGCTAATAAATTTCCGAAATATGTGTTTCTCCAAAAACTGATGATTTGCAACCAATGACTCATGACCAGCATGACCAGTCATCCAAAGTCATCCAAAGAGGCCAAATGATTTTTGAATCATTCCAATGTACTTCCTTTTTTCGATGGATTCAAGGGAAAATCATGGAAAATCCATAGAGAACACATGGGGTTTTGAACATTGACAGCAGGGGGCTTCCTGTAGATTTTCCCTTTCTGACGAAAATCCAACAGCTGATGCTTCAGGTGACACCGATCTCCATCAAAGCTGTCACTTCTCCGGGAGCTCTTAACCAATTCAACCATAGACTCGGTTCGGGCGATTGCCCGGCCATGGGCCCCACAAAATGGGACTTGAAAAATGGGGAAAAATTACGGTGATTTCCTCAACCAATACTGGTTTCAGCAACCCAAAATATGGATTTAACCTTCAAAAACTTAGGATTAACCTGATTTAACATGATTCTAAACAAGAAAAGTGATATTAACCGATTTGTAGCCCCCAAAATCAGGATGATAAAGGTCACAAGGGACGATTTCTGGGTTGGTCTAGTCAAAAAAATCAAGCCAACGATCAATGGGATGGGTTCAACAAACCCGTGATATTTTGTCGTGATTCATGACCTACCCTCTGGTAAACAGCCACATAACGAACTGGAAAATCACCATTTTTACTGGGCAAATCAACTATTTCTATGGCCATTTTCAATAGCTTTTTGTATGTTTACCAGAGGGTATGGGATGTTTTGGATGTTTAGGACCCATTGAACCCGTGATATTTTGTCGTGATTCATAGGACCTATGGGATGGATTTCTGTTGGATGTTTTGGATGTTTAGGACCCAAGAAATACAGAAATACCTCATCCCAGGTCCTCATCCCAGGTCGCTCCTCCAAGGTCAAGATCCTCTAAGGTCCCCCGCAGACCACATCGCTGTCGCTCACCGTTCGTCGCATCACCGGCGCCTGTGAAATCTCGTCCGGATCGGCCAAGAAGGTGCGGACTTCGATGGTGGGCATAGCTGCGGCCTCAAAAAAAGGTGGTTTATGGTGGTTTCGTGCCAAAAAAGCTGGGGAAATGATGGGAAAATGATGGGAAAATGATGGGGAAAATGATGGGAAAATGGAAGGACTGCTGGTGGCTACGGACTTACTGGAAAACCTGCTGCAAATTTGCCTTCGCGACCGACCTTGTCATTCAAACCCTGGCCATGTTGCTTCTGGTTGACTTTTTCAAAAAGGTCACATCATTGGTGCGCAACAAACGAACAAAACGACTTCATGTTGATTTTCATGTGGAGGTTTCCTAAAATGGGGCGTCCCCAAGTCACCATGGCTTTCAATACTAAAGTCATGGTCATCCATGACTTGGATGATTCGGGTGTATCCCCATGACTCAGGAAACCAATTTTCACGTCAGAATGCCAAGGAACATCCAGTAACTGCAGGGCAGCTGCTCGTTTATCGGATGCCGCAGCCAAAATGGCTTGAGCTGCAGCTGCCGTGTTGGGCCTTTCACAAAGGGCGTTTGTCGAGTGACAGTGCTTGCAGGTGATTGTTGTTTTGGATAGGAAGATTGAAACTGTACCGTCTTTCATCTGGCTAGATTGATGGATTACCTCGCAGACTTTCGGAAAATGTCATGTTTTTTTTTCCAGAGACTGCCACAATCTGAGGCTTTACAATTGATGTAATTATACTACATTGACTACTACCTCATGTCTACAAGATAATATTCATAAACAAATCATAAACATGTATAAACATACATGATCTTATATATCTTATATGACATTATCATAGTAAATACATAGATATATTATATTATGCATATAAATATATATATATATAATCATATATATATATACAGTATATGTAAACAAACGATTCTTTTTGTCAAAGGGCCTCCACCAGGTCCCAATTTTTCCAGCTCCCCACCTGCAACCCATGTCGCAGTCCTGGCAGGATGTCGATTCATTTAGGATGAGTCATCCTGGAGTTCTGGGAATTCCACATTCTATCTACTTCAGGATGATTATATGTATGCATACCTATAATCAGTTGATTGTTAAGCTCTGGATATGTATATATATATACAGAATTAGTGGATTGAGCTCTTTATTTAACCATTGTCATTTCATGTTCGTCTTAAAGTCCACTCGCCTGTCGCAACCCTGAACTATCATCATTCTAGGGTGATATAATCCCTTCGGGTTATTTCATCCCCATCAGTTTCTAATTGACCCGCATCAGTTACCCTCTGACTATTTAACATGGCCATGGAATCCATAGCCCATTTATAGATGATAACCGATAGCCATGATGATTTACCGTAACATGACAGTGATTTTCCAGTTCAACCGTTCAATGACCACCAACACCCACCATGCTTACCATGCTTCCCGGCCCTCGATGACCACATCCCCATGGCCATGTCCTCGCTCTCAGTATGTGCCGTCTCATCATCCACCACATCCACGGCAGGTGGAACACTGCCATCGGTGGACCCCTCGAGATCCTCACCATGGGATTTCTTCACGACGGTGAACTGGGGGCAACTGGGGATGTACCAAGCAGAAGTACTACAGTAGTTTCAAGAATCAAAAAACATCGCCCTTGATGGTTTTCCACACCATAGCTTCAGAGCTGTTACGGATTACGACATGTGATGATCATTCTCATGGGTCATATTCAACCCCATTCAGCGTGCTAGACCTCAGATTGATATCAGAAACAGCCTTGGCCGGCTAGCAACATGGCCCTAGACTCTTTTGATCTCTTTTTGCTTACAGGAAGCCATTCATAAATGGAAAGTTCTTCTTTTCAAGGGGAGGAACATCGGGAGAACGCCAAAAAAACACCAAGAAACACGTCATTTCCAACGGAATCTGCACAGAATAGGTCCTCGGATTTCGGATTTTGGTCCCAAAATTTTCATCGAAACCTCCTGAGCCACTAGAGAGACAATTTCCCATCAGGCCTCCACGGGTGACCTCGATGTGCAGTGGAAACCCATGACCAAGCTATGACAGACTGGGGCCCCTGAATGATACATTCATCCGATTGGTTTTCTGGGGAAAATCGAAACTGGAAACCATAGTTTTTCTAGCATTTATTATAGGGAAAATCCGGTTTCAATTTTCCCGTAGACCAATCCAATGATACATCGTTCGATTGACTCATCTCCAACTCATCTCTTGATAAGAGTTGAAACATGTTATATGAATATAATCTTATTTTCCCAAGAGAATGAGGTGAACGATATGAATTACCAGGAGGTCCTTGGTCTCCATTATTCATACATATTAGGTAATCATCTTTATAAGATTCTGCCCCATTATAAAGTTTCCAATGAGGATGAGCATACCCTTTTTCTTTATTGAGTCTTATTATTCAATGTATTTCTGGTCTCCAACGAAGATTTCTCTGAGTTCTCCGGGCGAAGACTCCGCCGATTTCGCTGCAGCTTCAGCATTGGCCTTCATCACCTGAAGCCCAGCCACGCGGAAAGTTCGAGCCTGAAATCACTGATGAACCACTAACATGGGGAATATATCTATACTTGTGAAATGTGAAATATATCGATATATCTTGATATATCTTGTAAAGATTCAGGATTGTGATATGAAGTGATGAAAAATCGGGATGTAAGGTGATGTAAGCATCCGCCATATATACATATATATATATATATCCCACAAAACTTAGAGGTCAATTGGAAAAAATGCTAGGGAAGTTCGGTGGTATTGGGTATGGGTGCCATTAAACATCAGAAATTCACCCAATCAATGAGAACAAAGAAAACCAGCAGAAATGGAGGGGCTTGCTATCAAAAATGGGCACAGGTGGCAGCCACGCGACCGCCAGCGCAGCTTTATACATTGGAGAAGGCTCCAGCCTCAGAAAAATGTCATGGTCGTTACTGGTCGTTGGATCCCGATATCTCCAAAGGTCAAGTTCGCCGCAAAATCTCAGCCCCTGGCATCTCTGGGCTTGAAGGAACGTCTGGCCTCAGATATTTCTTGTGGCTGGGTGACTTTTGTTGATGTTTTTTTTTGAAGCATCTTGAACCACTCATGTTGCAGATCTGCTGATTGTTACTTGTTCCCTCTTGTCCTTGTTTGAATTTCAGAAAAGGCTTACAGACTTGAAATGTTCCAAGTCCTTCCAGGATCCTCCAACAAAAACCTGGCAAGATGATTTGAGTGGATTTGGCCATGCCTTCTTTGGATGAAGATTGCTATGTCCAATTTTGGACCCAAAATCCACCAGCTTGGCCACTGGATTGCCTACCCCTTTGCAAACGCAAGACATTTCTGTCGCAAGTACTTTGACATTGGACAGAAATGTACTCAAAAATAGATGTAAAGGTACCAAAATAAATAACTTAATAGTAACAATAAGTACCAAAATGTCGATGTCCATTTCAATCAAAGAAGGAAAAAAAACGCCAAGTAAAATGTGGGTCTATGGGGGACCCAGTGTCCCAGAGCAACCCTGACACAGCTCCGCCGCTCCGCCCTGAGGATGCAGCTTCTGTGTCACCTGAGGCGTCAGACCCGGCCATCCAAAACGACCCAACAAAATCCGCAGCAGGTGGCCTCATTCCCTTCAGACTTCTGCGTGCCCACTTCGCTAGCCTTTTGGACCTCACAAATAGTGCCCAAAAAAAAAATCGTAAGGAGGTTCTTCAAAGGTCAAGCGATGTTCTAAACCCTGGAATCATGACTTTCTATCATGTTCTCCTGAAAAAACCATGATCCACCTCCTCAAACCATATATCCCACATGAATATCCCGGATGATCTTCCATGATCTTCCCGGCCTTCACCCCCTGCGAAGCAGTTTTAGCTTCGAGGCAGTGGGCGGGGCCTTGGGCGCCTTGGGGGCCTTGGGGGCCTTGGGGGCCTTGGCGGCCGGCCTGAGGCGGACCCCAGGTGAAGTCCATCGGGGCTAAACCGCGAAAAAACCATGGCAAAGTTCTGAATCAATTCTGGGTATAGATAATGATATAGATAATGATATAGGTAATGATAAGTATAGATATTACATGGCTATAGATGGAGAATGATATAGGTAATGATGGGTATAGAACCTTTCCAAAATGCTGATGTAGAATGAATTGAATGATTTTCTGAAGAATATCTGGTGCAACAAGTCTTTAGGAACAAGCATTTTGGGATTCGCTTGACATTCCGTTGCCTGCCTTGACGGCCTCTGGTGGAGTCGCTTTGGCTTTGCCATTGGAGCCTTAGCGACACTCGTAGAGCTCTCTCTCTCTCGCTTCGTAGAGCTGTTGAGTAGTGAAAAAGATGAGTTTAGTTCAGAGACTGCCAAACCATTACATATACATATATATATACGTATATATCCATGTATCATCATTTACCCAGGGTTGCGTGAAATGGGTGGCTGCACCTGCACCCTTTCTTTCATCAGCGATAAAAGGACGTAAAATCTTATGATCTCTGGATTTTGCTGCTTGTTGATCTTGTTGATCCAGTATTGGCTTCGTATCTGAAGCACTGGCTATTGATCCGGCTCTCACTCGGGACCTGACACAGGACGAAATGAACACGAGATTATAGATTTGCCAACTTTCTCTGTTTTTTAGGTTCTTTTTGCCCAACAAAAACGAGACAAATAGCGATGTAGCGATAACCGTCTTTCAACCTTTCATGCGCCTTGACGGCCTCTGGTGGAGTCGCTTTGGCTTTCGGGCCATTCGGGCCATTCGGGCCAGAGCCTTGGTTCAACGATGGTTCTGATGGCTTTCACCCAATCAATTCGATCATTCTGGTGTTCTTTGTTGGGATATGGTAGCCTCTTATACCATCTGGTTATTTAACATAGCCATGGAAAGATCCACCCATTTTTAATAGGTAAACCATCTATAAATGGGCCATGTCCCATGGCTATGTTAAATAACCAGATGGTACATTTTTTGGGCAAAAGCTCTGTGTCATATCAGTGTCATTCTCAGTGTCTTATCATATTTTGGGGATTCCTAAAATAGGGGTACCCCAAATCATCCATTGATAGATTGTTCTTCCATTATAAACTATAAACCAACCATTTGGGGATACCCCCATTTTAGGAAGCCTCCATTTATCATTCTTCTGACGCGCGGACTATTGACCCGGCTCTCGCTCGTGACCTAGCACGAGAAACATTCTGCTGTAAAGGGTTGATTACTGGAGGCAACAGGATTGTATACAGCCTTGCCATATTGATGCTACATCACTGATACATATCAAGAAATATCAGGGAGACACTATTAGAGCTTGTTTCATGCAAACGATCTCAATACTCAATAATCATCAATAATCTCTCTGTCAAGAATATCAGCCTTGCCATCTTCACCCGCCTTGACAGCCTCTTGCGGAGTCGGTTTGCCTTTGTGACCATTGGAACCTTGGCGTAGAGGCTCTGGTGCGGTCTAAACTCAGGAGGGGAGGCGAGGTCTTGATGCTTTTGGAGGGTGATCGGCATATCATCGCAACATCCCCATCTGTCTAAAATTTGTTTTATCCTCTTTGTGTCTCCTGTCTGAAGCCCTGACCATTGGGACCATTGACCCGATTCTCGCTCGCGACCTGAGAAAACATTGTGGCAACAGTGACAGTGGCCCAACAAGTTTGACCACCCGTTTCGTTACTCAAGGCAGGATGTCTAACCCGATGTTTAAGCCCAAGTCACCATCGGTTTCAATACTTCATTGATTTTTCAGTTGGGTTTTTCTTAAACTGGATCCCCATTGGGCCCCATTGGTCCCCATTGGTCAGCATGGCTTTGATTAAAATGTCAAAATTGGAGGATTTTGGGGGTATCTGCAGTATCTCCATCGACTTCACCCCCAACCCTCGCCTTGATCTCCGAAGTCATTTTGGCTTTGTGGTTGGAGCCTTGGCGCTGACATTTCTGACATTTCTGACATTTCTGGCCCTATGGACCCCTAAAGGACCCCTAGATCTTCTCCCAAAAAAAGTATCTCAAACTCATTCGGATGAAAACTCTAGAAAACTCTAGAAAGATCTTCATGATCATCTTGATGCCAAGAGGTCGGTGGATTCGGTGGATGACTTCTGAGAAAATCATGGCAACTGGACGGATCCACTTAGCTTCAGACCAACCTGGCTCTCTTTGGTGACCTGGCCATCCCACAGACACGTTGCGAAAACCACTTTCCGCTTACGTCTTGAAGAGGATGTTTCAGGAGGTGTTCGCTTGTGCCTGTTATACCCAAAAGAAATGCCAATCTGCTGGCTATAAAAATATCCCACAGAATCATCGGAATTCCGTTGTTGTCTATATTTTTCCCTTGTTGTATGGCGCAGTAGACTCCCCAGTCGCTCCTTGACGGTCTCTTGCGAAGTTGTTTTGGAACCTTGGCGGGTGATGAAAAGAACCTCAGACTGATGAAAACATTTGGGGATATAACGGGATGTGAACCGGCAACAATTGGGATACAATGCTACAATTGATTTAATCGGGATAGGGATTTTATGTGATATGATAAAATATGATAAAATTGGGAAGATTGATCAGCATCTTAATAGGTTCAGAGTGGTCGATTTGCCATCTTTACCTCATTCATTTGCCTCATCTAGCGGGAACCTGGCATGCAATGTCTCACACATGTGTTTGGGTGGCATACATTGCATCAACTCGTAATCCGTTTCCTTTCATTTTTTTTCATACTCCCAAACCATATCCAGGGAAGGGGGTATGTAATATTAACGGAAACCAGGGTTGCTACAATATTACTTTAGTTGCTACATTGTTGTATAAACCCTGCTTTAGTACTGGGTCTGTTCATTTTGGTAAGCCAAGCCAAGCTGCTGCCTCGCGCTTCCCGAGTGACCTGCCCGCCAAATCGCTACAGGGCGTTCCTGTGGAACTGTAGGAGCGTATTATAATGATATGCCAGGGTTAATCCCATAGTTCCCAAACCAGGTATCCTATAATATACATATATATATTTATATACACACACACGTATATACAATGTTATAATATAATATTTTTTCCACGGCTCTTTGTGACTTGCGTCGCTGCGGGCAAATTGAATTCGCCAGAAGAGAGCACCTCAGCCCCCGAAATCCGGCCCAATCCGTGTGCCAAAAGCTCTGTGAATCATAGAGCGGCACCGCTGAAAAAAGTCAGGGTCGATGCACTGGTCTGCACAAAAAGGGTGTGCAAGGAACCATTGACAGAACGAGGCCGCTAAGGCTCTGTTCATCGCAGGTGGGTGTTCTTTGAGGGGCGACGTCTTCCAGGCTCCGTCAGCCCCTTTACCAATTGCGCTGCGCTTTGGCAGCTCTTTGGTGATGTGATGCTCCCTCAGCTGCGTCCTTAAGCAGGGCAAGTTCAATGCCAGAAGGCGTGTAGGCTTCGGCGACCAAGCTCCGAGAAGCCCTTGTGCTAGATCGATGACCTCGATGCCCGGAAAGCGCATCAGGAGTCGAGTCATAGCCAAGCGCCAAATGGAAGGCCTTGTATCGTCGTCTGGTTCTTGTGGATGTTCCAACACTCCAAAGCCCTCCACGCATGCTAAGGAGAAAAGAAGTTCCAGAGAGAACAAGAGCAGCTCATTGCCTGTAGCAACTTGAAGTGCTTCCCGAACACTGAGGGAGCTAAAACCCCAAAGCTCCCAGATATCTCGGAGTGGGCGAGGACCTTGACGACCTTCCCATCTTTGCGCCTCAGGTTGATTGGCATATCTCGCCTGGGACCAGGTTTCACAGGGCGGTCCACAAAGGGCTCCACAAACCCATCCTGACTTCACTCCATGGAGCCAGAACTCTTGTGTGGCCGCTCTTCTCACGTTGCCCCAGTCCTTGTCGATGACCAAGTCCAACGACACTACGCAGAGAGTAGTGCCCTCCATGCCCATCTGGTCGTAGAGCTTTTCCATGAAAAATTGCAGGTCTCCTTCTCTTCTTCGACCCGAAAAAACATGGAGAAAGATGCGCTCCTTGGTGCAAGGGCGTGGAATGGCATGAGATGCGGGAGGACAAAGTTCTGCTCGCTCAAAATCTTGCTCAATCTGCTTCAAAGTCAAAGGTCCACATTCTTTTGGTCTATGACGGAGAAGGAAGGGCCAGGCCGAAGGCAGACAGAGAGATCGCAGGCTCTGTCTCATGCGGGCCATGACCTCCTTGCTCTGGTCTGTCTCGGCCTCCTCCATGAAAGCAATGAGCCGCTCAAGTGTCCTTCGGCACAAAGTCCAAGAAATAGTGCACTGCTTAATGGCAACCCTGACCTTGTCCTCAAACTCAACCACGCTGTCGGCCGTCGTCTCCACAATGAGAAGCGCCAAGGTTTCGAAGAGCTGCGCATGCTCAATGTCGAAATCCCTGGGTGCAACCGGCTCAAGGCTAGGGCCTTCCGCTTGTAAGGTGGGCAATTTCCCATCCCAAGTCTCCTGCTGAAGAGCCACTTGCGTTGATCCTAGCCCCGGAAGTGGACGAAGTTGCCATTTGCGTCCGACCAGTTGCTGTCTGCATCTCGTAGCCCTGATAAGGTGTGCCTGCAGCTTTCCATGTGTGAAGAACTCTTTCAGGCATGTGCCACATTGTGTGCCATCAATCAGGGTTCTCACTGGATGGAATTGTCCATGCGCTCTATTCATGTGAGCGCCCTCGCCAGCAAAGTTGCGACATGCTTGCTCGCAATGCATGCACCCAAAAGTAGCTGAGGGATCAGCAGCAATGAACTCCTCTTCCGCTGTGGGCTGGCTCCAGAACGAATGGTGGACGAGAAGGCGCTGAACACGAAGATGCCCATCAATGCAGACAAACCTGCGTGACGTCACGAGGATCGAATGCTGCTTTGCCCTGCGCAGAAGCCTGCGCCAGTATCCTCGATGATGGCGGATAACTTCCAACCATCTATCCGTGTGGTCACAAGGGTTCCCAAGATTGCAGGAGTGGCAAAGTTGATCCCAGACCCATTGCAAATCATCTCGAAGGAGGCTCATCCAGTCAATGTCTTGGTTGAGGAGTCCCCAATGGGCAGATGATCCAACTGCAATAAGTGAACTGAGATAGCTCAGTCTCTTCATGCGCAGCAATGTAGATGGTGCAGGGAGTTCAGTTCGATGGAGGACTTCATCATCGGAGACATGGGAGTCGGAAGGGCAACGCATCAGTCTCTTGTAGAGACGCATTACAGCACTGTGTAGGTATTCCTTCGTTTTTTGATCCTGGATGAACCATGTCTCCGCGCCGAAGAGAAGCCTGCTGAGGATAAGGCTGTTGAAGATCTCCGATCGTCTTGTCGGTGCCAGATCTGTGTTCTGGTAAATCAGCTTGCGGTGTTTGTTGAAGCTCTGATTGGAGATGGCAATCCTCCTTTTGATCTCCTTGCGCAAATCTCCAGTGAAGTGCGTGGTGCCTCCCAGGTGCAGGTACTGCGTCACAATGTTGACCTGGTAGGTGCCATATTCTCCAATCGCGTCAAAATGACCAGGAGCATTCGGGCCGAAAATCCTTCGTTGGCATGCCTTTGACCCTTTGCCTCTGGGTTTGAAGAGAATCTCTGCTTTGCCTTTGCTAAGGTTCGGCGTCATGGCATGTGAGCGAAAGAGATCCAAGATGGTGCTCGTAGCAGTCCCCAGGTTTGCAAGCAAAGCATCATTGCTCTCCGCAGTGAGGGGAATAGCGAGATCGTCCATCCAGCAAGGACCAATCATCTGGACCTCCTTGTGGTTGGTCTCAGCAAAGCCCCTTCCATGAAAATCAGGCTGAGGATCATCCGGGAAACTGGACAGGATATTCTTTGCCTCCAATTGAGCCTCGAAGGACTTCAGCACCCTGGCCATGAGATATCCGAAGACCACATCAGCATATGAATCGCCCGGCCTTGAGCCGTGGCTAGTGCGAACGTAGTCATGTTGTCCTGGGAGGGCAAAGTACGTGTCCAAATGCAGAGCTCGAATCGCTCGCTTCGCTGCTCCTTGCATACCTGCCATCTCGATGGCACTGGCCTCGTTGAGGTGTTGGTACAGGTCGTGCACCACGTGGTGGTCCAAGTGCAAACGAGCAGCCATGGACGCGATGTGAGCATCATCCCAAGAGCCAGAAATTGCTAAGGGTCTAATCACCCTGTAAAATGCCTCCTGGAGGTCAATGAACAGGACCGCTGTAGGCTGATTCCGCTTACTGAAGATGCGAAGGAGGGCCCTGATGATATGCCCCCCCAAGGCAACAGACACCCCTTTTCGTCCTCCAAGCTGTTGAGAATGAAGAAAACTGTGGTAGAGGTCAGACTGTTTGGTGCGCATGGCCTTGTGGAGAGTCTTTCCCACCATCGAAGAGATGAGGATAGACCTGAAGGCACCGCATACGTCCTTGCTGAGCTTTCCCTTCCAGATGGGAACCAGGAAGCCACCCTTGTGTTCAAGAGGCTCTTGGCCTTGGAGGTAGATCTTCAGCATCAAAGTGTAAAGAGTTCTTGCCATAGAACTTGGGCAGTAACGCAGGAGTTCTGATGGAATTCTGTCAATTCCCGATGCCTTGCCGGCGGCCACTTGTCTGCAGACCTGCTCGAGGTCGACCAGTGAAGGCATTTCCGTGATCTCAACCTCAAAGTTATGGCATCTCAGGTCCTCCAGGTTGGAGCGCCATTTGTCGCGCTGCTGCTGTCCATCAACTCTTTCTCCGCCTTCCATGTCGCTGAAAAAGGTAATCCAGCGTTCCAATGCTGCTTGTTGGGAGGTGCAGGGATTTCCCTCCTCGTCTTTGATCATGGGGAGTGGTGACATGCCCTGCCGTAATTTGTTGGTGGGACCCATGAAGGGCTTCAGGCCCTGCTGTATTTCCGAAGCAGTCGTGTTGTGTGTGAACTCCTTCACTGTGTTTCTGAGTGCGATCTTCTTGTTGGAAATGATGGCCTTGCGCAACGCCTGTGCTGTGACGCGAAAGCCCAATCCATGTTTGAGAGCACCAGAAAGCAGTGTGCAGCCGTAGTCAAAGGATGCGCTTCCATCCCATGAAGAAGGATGCCGCCACGCTGCAAAAATACGGGCCATGGCTTCTCTACGGAGAAGGGCTCTGATGTACTTAAGGGCGTTCTTGTGGTGAAGTTTGGATTTCCGCAATGTCCAGATGTGTTCATCAACATAGGGTCGCTCAGGTCCACGCTTAGGGCGAGGGCAATGTCGTTTCAGCATGGAGTGCAGCTGGTCGTTGATGTGCTGGAGGTGCGTTTCCACATTGGTCTCCCAGGCGTGGATGGCAAAGTGCTCAAAGTTGGACGGCATCTGCTGTCGAATCATGGAGCGCTCAAAACTGTCGCTGCGGCCTTCACCCGATGGGTGGAGAGTCACATGGCCCTGCCAAGTCAATTCCACAGCATGAACAGAGTGATCATGTTGTTGATTGCCCAGGTCGAAGTCCTCAATGATCTGGGAGAGATGGCAGCTGGAAATCCATGTTTGAGGAATCAGCACATAGTCAATTGTGAATTCCTCCTGGGAAGGCGATGTCCATGTACAAACAGAACCTTCATGAACTGGACTTGTAATGGGCGCACATAGGTGGAAATCCTCCAGAAAAGCACGTAGGAGCTTAGTGCTGGATGAAGTGCGGAAGCCTGCAGTGAAAATATGGTCACCGTCAGGTTCTCCAGGTCCTGCATTGGCGTCAATGCATACAAAGAGCGGGGAGTTCTCTGTGTGATGCTCCTGGACAATGTTGTGAGTAGTGTTCCACCAATGGGTTCTGTCGAGGTCTCCATAGCCACTGTGTGGTGCATAAGCCACCAAGAACCATGCTTCCCAGAGTGGATGTTGAATCCTCACCAAAAGTCGACGGTGGTCTCGGTGTACAACCAGGAAGTGTCTTCTCTGAAGGAAGATGTCTTTGTTCTTGACTGTGGCAATTGGCTGCTGCAGATTACACCAAAGCTCAACCCCCGCTTGACCTTTATCACATCCTGAAGAGAGCCGTAAGACACCATGTGTGTTGGCCATCCCTTCAGGTGAGCGGGTTTCTTGCAAGCCAAGAAAGTTCAACTTGTGAGCCATAAATTGAGTGCGAATGTAGTGTAACTTTCCTGAAAAGCCCTGCTGCCCAAGTCCAAGTGACTGGACATTGCTGGTAGCAACACTGACTGCAAAAGTGGCAGCCTGTTTGCGAGGACAGGGGCGTTCAACTGCTGAAACCGAAACCTCCGGGGGCAGCTCAGGAGGTGGCACACTGAAACCTCTTCCCTGAAAGGTAGGGGCCCCAACATTCCCTCCAAACAGGAGCCAGAGATATGGGATCAACTGTCGCCATGTCTTCAGTTGCAGTTGTGGTCTGGGAAGATAGAATCCTCTTTGTCCTTCTTGTTTCGCAACCTGGTCACAGATCTCATTGAAGGGATCGCCTGCGTGTCCTGGTACATGATCAAAAAGAATCCCTTCTGGGCCAAGTGCGCTTTCCAGAAGTTGTGCACATCCTCTAAGCATCTGAAAAGAGATGTCGCAGACCAAACTTCCAATGGCTCCATTGGCCTGTTGCAGCGCAAGCATTGAATCGCTTCTGAACACCGTTGGTATGTTGGAGTTCTGGCCAATCCTCCAAAGAAGTGCCCAACAAAGAGCTTCACGTTCAGCAATAGCTGATCCCACTCGGTCCGCACCAATATACCAATCACTGTTGGGGTCTGTTCTGACCTGATGCGCAGACCACCCTATGAGAGTGAGGTCTGAAGTGGAATCAGAAAGGTAAGTCTCTCCCAGCACAAGGAAACACCATGAATCGGGAATGCCAATTTCCTCGTTCAGCAAAGGTGAGATATGCTTGGAGCGAGACTGAGAAGAACCGTCCGTGTAGATGATCAACCTGTCGAAGTGAGTGTGAGCTGCGAGTCCGCGTAGTCGTTCACTACAGAAGTCAGGGAGATCAATGCCGTCAAATGAGGTACACAGCGTGTTCTTGGACGAATGGAAGAACTGAAAGAGGTCCTCAGAGGTTATCCCACAGTTGAGATTGCATGTTGGTGCCAGTTGATGCTGCGGCCTTTGATACATTGGCATCCGTGTCGTTCTCCTCTGTGGTGCTGGCCACGGTGGGAGACTTTTCTGCTTACCTTCAGTGGTTTGCATTTCACCAAGTGCTTCTTTGAAAGGGATCTCGAGGATACCCGAGGGATGTCTGATCTGGTCCAAAATGACTGCCTTCTCAAATCCCATTCGGTAAAGCAGGCGCATCAGGTCAAGTTCTACCTCCTGGCCCGGCTGGGGCAATGTGTGCAAAATGCAATCATAGGGCAGATTGCAGGACACAAAGACGCAATGTCGAGAGATATCCTCCATGTCAGTTCCGGATGGCCACCAAAGGACCGTTTGCTCATCTGAAAGAATGGAGATGATGCCTGAGAGACCAAAGTCCCAGAGTGCTTCCCTCACTCCTTCATCAGTCGGTGGGCAGGGTACCTCGACAAAGGATGGCACAGGAGTGGTCCAGTCTCCCGCATTAATGACTCTAAGCGCCGTCTGGAAGGAAGGCGAAGAATGTGAGAGGGGCCCATGGGTGTGAGCCACCAGCCCATGTGTTAGGCGCCCCTCTTCCCTCCTTTGTACCCGGGCACTGATTTGCACGAGGTTTGTGGCCTCCTGTGGATCCTGTGGTGCCGGAATGATGGGGCGACGATTCATCCACAGGGTGATGCTCGTGCCGTCCCCGCCCATATACGGGCGCCCTAGCTGGAGCTGTTGTGAGCCACTTGTCGCCGTGCATACCGAAGTGGCGCCATGCAGAAGGCATCTGCCTTCAAGGCCAAGCCCATAGATCAGATGTTCCAGAAGAATTCCTTCATCTGTCGTGATGGCAAACTGACGTGTTGGACCGTCTGGGTGCCTTTCCATGTTGAAGAACGTCACGACGCTAGAGGACAACGCAGCCTGCGGATTCTGTATCAAGAGAACATGTGCCGCCGATTCTGGTCCAATATTGATCGGTGCAGGTTGCACCACATGGATCTGAATGGGAGCATCAGGAATGCGCAAGTCTTGCCAGGCTCTATGAAGGGTGGCTTCCCAAGCATTGTAGTCTCCTGACAGATGAATTTGACGTGAGACCCAGCAGCTATGGAGATTCTGGTGGAGCTGGTCCACAAACCATGTTGTCACCGACGCTGAAGCTTCTTCACCCTCCCAGCTAAAGGCAAATCGTGCCCAATGGTCGTAGAGCTCTTGTAGTCCTTCAGGTAGGGAATGGAGGAAAGGTTGCCCAGGACAAAAGTGTGGCGCATGGGGATTGAAGCTGAAAGCTGTCTGAGCCGCCGGTGCCTGTGGCTGCATCCCTGGTTGTTGCATAAGACTGCTTGCCTCTCCCTCCTCAGCATCAAAGGGGCCAAAAAGTCCAGGAGCTCTCAAGGAGATGACAATGCTGCATCCTGATTCCACGAGGTCAAAGTCGATGAAGTCATAGGGGATTTGCCCACGTCGAACGCTGCATGCTCTGGACTGACATAAAGCTTCCATATCCGCAACTCTGATGATCGCTGGGGCGTTCATGATGGAATGCAATGAGACAGCCTTGTGAGTGATCGTTGGTCCCCTAAATCTCGAATCCTGAATCGAGAGGAGTGCAACGGCAAGGTCTGGACGTGGAGCTTGCTCTATGATCAAATGTGCCAGAATGCACTCAAAAGGCGTGCATGGCGGTGTGGGTCGCACCAGGTAAATCATGATGTCCTGGGTTGGATCGAGTTCCGCCTCCCATGGCTGAAGAATGTCAGTGAGCCATTCAGCAGGATCTTGAAATAGCTTGACTGCTCGAGGAGCTTCGCATCGAGGCCTCCTATCATGGTGGATGTACCACGTATCGACATAGGCAATGCGACCTTCTTCTTCACATTCAATCAATGCTTGAGATCTGAAGAAGTTCTGAAGGGTGTCAAAGTCCCTTCCAAAGAATCTGCTGAGTGGTCGTTGATGAGGTAGTTGTTGGTCTGTACCACTGGATGAAGCTGCAAAACGGGTTCCCCGCACATGTTCTGGTGCAACTTTGGCCTGAAGAGGGACAAAGCCTTTGAATGTGGATGTGCATGCCTTCTGAAAGCAGTGAAGCGCTTGCTGAAAAAGGGCGCTAGTGTCTCCTTCTCCACTTGATCTTGGGCCCTCCTCCGAACATGCCGCCAAAGTTGCGGGCGGAGTTGCAGGTTCCTCGATTGCAAAATCCCTTGAGATTGCAATTGCAATTTCAGTGTCCAGTGTAGGATCATCCGGTGGAGGCACAATGATCCGCAAATAAGCACCGTGTGTCAAAGCATGCACAGTGCGATCTTGTGCGGGCCAGAGGATGTTGTTCTCATAGATGGTGCATTTGTCTCCATGAAGCTCACAGTAATCATGGAGTCCAACCAAACGTAGAATTTGAGATCGATGTAGAGGAGGAAAAACTCGTAACACTTTCCTGCTGAAAGCGGGTGGTACCAGTAGTCCCGACGGAAGCGCATGAAAGTGGATTTCCTGGTCAAGGAGGATGAGTTGTTCTCCCGATCCGGCAGGGATGTCACCCACAGCTTGAAGGATGACTGCTCTTCCAACAACAGGATGAACGCCAACAGGCAGTGCATGGACAAAGTGCATGCCGATGATGTCATTCCGTGGCAACCTCAAACAACGAACAATGTCCAAAAGAATCTTTCTGTAGGTATCCCATTGGATGTAGCAGTGTGCGTCCTGTTTTTCAAGGCTGTAGACATGGACCCCAACTTCTTCTTCTGGTTGATCAGAAGTGGATGATGCATCGTGAGAATGAGGTGATTGCAGTCTGGAATCCATATGTCCCGCATCTTCATAATCAAAATCTCGATCCGGCTGGGTTGTACCAATGATCTGCTCCTCCTGAAGCGGTGACGTGAGGCGTCTTGCTCGGTCATCCGCAGTGGTTCTGGTGATAGTGATGACAATGGAGTCGCCACTGTGCATTTGATGCTGAGGAAGGTGATCAAAAGGAATGGGTTGCCAACCATATGCCAGTGTGCAGCGATTTTGAGGAAGGTGGCACCATTGTCCCGCATCAGCAGCTTCTACCAGACGAAAACCGCTGACGACCAATTCCAGAGAGCATGCCACTGCATATGAGTGCGGTTCGATTTCTCCTCCGTGGTAGTGGACGGTCACAAGTCCAGCCCTTCTTGGGAGATCATTGCCCTGAGTAATGATGATGTCGCCATGAGTTTCCCGGTTGAGATAGCCTCGATAAGGGTCAGGAGAAACAAGATGAAGGAAAATGCTGGCACCTGCTTGTAAGTGAGTTCTCCATGCACCAATGATGTCATTCTCCCACCTTCGCCAATCTTCATCAAGTTCAACAGAGCGAGAATGGAAATTGGTCTGCTGGTCAGCGTGGTGAATGTACCAGGTTCGCAATCTGAGGATGCCCTCTCCGTCAGGATTCGAAAAAGCCTGGTGCATATCCGCCAAGGTCTGAAGGTCTTGGGCAAAAGGCGGTGCGTCCTGGATGTCCGGGATGATGTCTGGATCAGGTTCCTCAGGTTCTTCTTGTTGAAGTCGACGTGCAGGATTGTCAAAATGATGATCGGTGATCTTGTGCTGCAAAATTGCATCCTCAGGGGCCGTGATTCTAACTGCAGTCTCGCTGACAGGACGTTCGCAACTTCGTACAAAACCTCCATTGTGCCAGGGACAGACCTCAAATCTGCTGCGCTTCATGTCCGCAACTTTTCGACAGCCACTCCAAGGAGTTGATTTGCCATCAAAGAATTCCAATGGCAAACAAAAGAAATGCGTGTGGACATCCTCCTCAAACCAAATATGCCAATCCGTCCATTCTGCAAAACCCACATGCAAGGACGTCTTCCGTGATTTGGTGGCTGGAAGAGCGAAATGTTCACAAGGATCAACTTGATGACAAGAAAGAGCAATTTCCAAGGCAAGTTTCTGCGCCTTCTCTCTGGCACCACATTCACAGAGGAAGGTTGTTTCACTCATAATGGAGTGGCTCCATTTGAGTGTTTGGACTGCAGGGATGTCCAAAACATCTGGCTGTCGGCTGAGGCACCATAAGGTCGTCCACAGCCAGCCTAGCTGAAATGCGAGGCCGCCTCTGCGTCTTTGCTGGACGCGTCCAGACGTGGACGTTTGGCAGCCTGCTCCTCGATTTGGATCAGCTCTGTGGCCTTGGAGAGCTGTTGGAGTGAGGTGGACAGCGACTGGATGCTCTCCGTGATCTGCATCGCTCCAGCCCCTGCATCCCCAGGCAGGTTCTCCTCGTCGCTGAGCTCTGTCACTACCACCTGCCCCACAGAAACTTGTGAGGCTTCCATGCACTCCTTGGCTTCTTGAAATTGCTCCTTGGCCATTGCGATTCGCGACTGTAGTGCTTCTTCGTGTTGTTCGAAGAGCTTGCCATAGTCGGACCAATTCTTGACGGCCTCTGCTAAGAAAGCCTTCCATGTATTGATGTGCTGGGAGCGCGCCAACAATGCTTCTTCGTACACTGTTCGTGCTTCTCCCAAGGCTTTGGCTGCAGTCTCCAAATCTTTGATGACCTTCTTGCCCTCCTTTCTGCAAGTGTTGTGAACCCTCTGCTGAATGTCGGGCGGGAGATCTGCGGAGCGTTTTTGCAAATAGGCGATGAGGTCCTTCTGAGCCTGGTCTTGGGCACTGGGTTGCAAAACTGGTGCCGGCATGTGCATAGGTGGACATGGCTGCGGCATAGTCGCTTGATTTGCCGATGTTGGCATTTGCATGGGCATCGGCATCATATTGACCGTTGGCCCCATCGGCGGCATCCATGGTGGAGGCGTCGATGGTGGTGGCAAAGGAGGCGCCATCTGTTGCATCTGCTGAGGGAAAGGGCCATGCGGGAACTGAGGGTACGGGGCAAAACTGTATTGGTCGAAGCCTTTGCCTCCTCCCTTGTTGCGTGGCGTTTTCTTTCCTCTTGGGCTCTGTGTCCTCTGTCTGGGACTTTGACTTCCCTGACGAGGCGATTGGTACCCCTGGTAGTAAGGAACTCCAGTAGCATAACCGCCCCAATTCTGAATTGCATCTCCTTGTTGAACTTGTTGACCTCGAAGTGATGACTGCTTCACCCCATGTACATAATTCCTGTCCATCGCCGTCTGCCACGGCATGTGACATGTGGGGCAATGCGTCACATGATGCTTGCGGAGTTGACGACAATGCAGGCACTTCCAAGGGGCAGTGCTGTTCGCCATGGCTCTTCTGATAGCTCGAAGTAGACCAATGTCCTTCGAGTGATGTGCCGCAAGCGTTGAGGAAAGCTTGCGCAGCTGGAAAACGTTCAAAGTCACCGCACCAGTGCGATGAAGGTACCACCTCAATCGAGCTCGTGCTCGTTGTCGGCGCTGAGAACGTCTTGCAGAATCCGAAGTCGTAGTTGACCAGGAAGAATGTATCCTCAAGGGCCAAGAACAATGTGAAGAGCAGGACGATTGCGAATGCCGTACCCATACACAAGCAAGATCGTCAGGTCAAACTCCAGAGAGTTGAAGGAGATCACAAGGCTGCAAGAGCAAGGTGATGCTGGTTCGCCAGTCCAGCAGAGCACTGCACGTAGTGACACCAGGGCTGCGCCAGTTCAGTGAGCACCACGGCAGGCGAAGGCACGAAAATTGCCCGCGGGAAGCGACCCCGCTCAGGTGAGGCTCGAGAAAGCGGGGGAACTAGCGATCTCTGAAGCCAAAACCTTTAATATAATATATATATATATTATATATATACCAGGTATCCATTATAATATATATATATGTGTACATATATATTATATATATAATGTTCCCAAATGATGGGCGATTAAAACCATGATACCACCCAGCCTATGCCCCAAAAAAACCTGGAAATCAAAGGTGTGGCTCCGCCTCTCGAGACTCGCGGCGCCGCGTGCTGGTTTCGGCCTGAAACTTGGGCGTTTCCGCCCTGGAAAGTGATGGAGTTTCACCTTGAAAAATGAGAAAATGCGGAGTTTCACCGTGAAAAATGAGGATGGTTTCACATGGTTTCACAACGTTCATCAAGAAGAATATGGCTTTCGGAGTCTCGAAATGATGCCCACAAAACGCCACGATTTTGTATCATTTTGTGGGGTCAACTTGTCACAAATCTGGAAGTTCACCACAGAGAGCTGAATCTGAGCTTTGTCAAAAATCTGGATTCCAACAAACATTGACTCCACTTTCGAGCCACAGAAATGGGCCGATGACAATTTGGACACCACTTTGGCACCACAAATCTGACGACTTCGACAGCTCGAGCCTTTGGAGCCTTTGCGCCAACATTTGTTGCAGCCTTCGCAGTCGATCCAGTGATCCACCCTCTGAATCTCTGGTCATTTCACGTTGTTTGCTATGAAAAATCGCCACTTTCATAGCTAAATTCTCTACAAATGGACCATGGCTTCCATAGCTATGTTGAATGACCGGAAGGTATTTCTGGATTTCTAGCATCAGGTAATGTGAGCAGTTCTTTCCAACACTCACGAACTCTTTGTTGGAGAGCTATGCTACAGTGCTACAGCCATG